CCCCCAGCCTCACAGACCACTCCCCTCCCGACACTCTCAGACCACCCTGACCATCACAGACCCCCCCTGACCCTCGCAGACCCCCCAACCTCATAGACCCCAGACGCCCTCACAGAGCCCCGACCCTCACAGACCCCCTCTGACCCTCACAGACCCCCGACCCTCAAAAAGCCTCCTGGCCTTCACAGACCCTCAGCCCCTCACAGACCCCTCCCAGCCTCAGAGACCCCCACAAACCGCCCCGACCCGCCAAGCTGAACCCCCTCCCCAGCCCCCTCCAGCGCCCCCAAATCACACACACAGCGCTGAACCGATTCCCCTCAGGACCATTTAATCGCCGGTAAGGGCACACAGCCCGGGCCTGCTCTGCTCCGGGGCTGCTCCATCCCTCAGGGTCGGAGCCCCCAGCCCGGGCCTGCCCTGCTCGGGCACTGCTCCCGCTCCGTCCCTCGGGGTCAGAGCCCCCGGCCCGGGGGCTGCTCCCGCTCCATCCCTCAGGGTCGGAGCCCCCGGCCCGGGCCTGCCCTGCTCCGGGGCTGCTCCATCCCTCGGGGTCAGAGCCCCCGGCCTGGGCCTGCCCTGCTCCAGGGCCGCTCCTGCTCCATCCCTCAGGGTCGGAGCCCCCAGCCCAGGCCTGCCCTGCTCCGGGGCCGCTCCCGCTCCGTCCCTCAGGGTCGGAGCCCTCAGCTCGGGCCTGCCCTGCTCGGGCACCGCTCCCGCTCCATCCCTCAGGGTCGGAGCCCCCAGCCCAGGCCTGCCCTGCTCCGGGGCCGCTCCCGCTCCGTCCCTCAGGGTCGGAGCCCCCAGCCCGGGGCCCGCTCCCGCTCCGTCCCTCGGGGTCAGAGCCCCCAGCCCGGGCCTGCCCTGCTCGGGCACCGCCCCAGGCCTGCCCTGCTCCGGGGCCGCCCGCTCCCGCTCCGTCCCTCGGGGTCAGAGCCCTCCCGCTCCGTCCCTCAGGGTCGGAGCCCCCAGCCCGGGGCCCGCTCCCGCTCCGTCCCGCGGGGTCACCGCGTAGATCTCGATGTCCCGCTCGGGCTCCCGCCGCAGCAGCCGCACGGTGAAGAACGGCGGCAGCAGCTGGCGGAAGAAGCGGGCGGCTCCGGCCTCGCCGCCGCGCAGGCGGGCGCTCAGCAGCGCCTGGGCCGGCGGCACCAGCAGGTGCCGGAGCGTGCCCAGCAGCGGGGCGAAGGCGCGGGGGTCGTAGACGATGTCGGAGCCCAGGACGAGGTGGAATTTGGGCGGGAAGCGGCGCTGGTCGCGCCCCCAGCGCAGCGCCCGCACCCGCGGCCCCGGCGCGGCCCCGGCGGGGAAGTTGCGCCGCGCGTTCTCCCGCAGCTGCGGCAGCGCCGCGGGACGGTCCGTGAGTGTCACCTCGGCCCCTGCGGGCAGCGCGGCCGTCACGGGGGTACAGCCCCCCGGTGAGCCACCCGGAGCCAAATTAAGCTCTGGGACTTAATATGGGGGTCACGCCCTGGGACCCCACCCCAAAATCACAGTATAGCCCCCGAGCCAGAGTGAGGAACAGCCCCTGGACCCCCACCCCAAAATCACAGTAAAAACCCCTGAGTTAGAGTGAGGAACACTCTCTCTGATGCTCCCACCCACCCCAAAATCTCTGTAAACCCCCCACCCCCGCCCATCCCATAAAACCCTGAGTCACAGTGAGGAAAACTCCCTTAGACACCCAACCCAAAGTCACAGTAAAAACCCCTGAGCCACAGTGAGGAACACCTCTGGGACCCCCACCCCAAGATCCCAGTAAAGCCCCCCGAGCCAGAATGAGGAACACGCCCTCACACCCCCAAGCCACAGTGAGGAACACCCCCTGGGACCGTCCCCACCCCAAAATCCCAGTAAACTCCCCGAGTCAGAGTGAGGAACACCCCGTGGGACCCCCCACCCCAAAATCCCAGTAAAACCTCACCCACATGCCATAAAACCCCGAGCCACAATGAAGAATGCCCCTGGGACCCTCACCCCAAAATCCCAGTAAAGCCCCCCAGGCCAGAATGAGGAACACGCCCTCACACCCCCACCCCAAAATCCCAGTAAACCCCTCCACATCCCAAAAATCCCTGAGCCAGAGTGAGGAACACCTCTGGGACCCCCCCACCCCAAAATCCCAGTAAACCCCCTGAGCCACAGTGAGGAACACCCACCCGTGCCCCCCCCAGACCCCAATAAACCCCAGGGCTGCTCACAGCACTTTCCAGTTCTGTACTGGGCAGGGAAACTGGGATCCCCCTACGCACGGGTGTCCCCCCGCGCCCCCCGGTGCCCCCGTACCCAGCATGGCAGCGAAGATGCCCACGATGCCGGTCCCGGCGCCCAGCTCCAGCACCCGCCGCCCCGCCAGCTCCAGCTTCTGCTCGCCCAGGAACCGGCACAGGGACAGGGCCTGGGGGGGGACACAGAGGGGACACTGGGGCTGGGGGACCCCCGTTCATGGACGCCCTCCCCCCAGCCTCGGGGCACCCTCCAAGCTCAGGGCCCCCCAGCGCTTCTTCTTGTGTCCCCAGGGTCCCCCCCGGTCCTCCCGCGGCCACCGTGGTGTCCCCCGGAGCGCCCACCGTGCCCAGGACACCTCACCCCCGGTGTTCCCCGTTCTCTCGAGGTTCCCCACCCGCCAATCACGGTGCCCACCGCGATGTCACCCCCCCGGTACTCCCGTTCTCTCGGCGTCCCCCACCGCCCATCCCTCCTGCCACCCCCGGGATGTCGCGTGTGTCCCTCCGGGATCACTCCCCGTACCCCCGCGATGCCACCTCCCCCCTGCCGGTGTCCCCGACAGCCCCGTACCCTCGGGATCCGCCGGCTGTCCCCATCACCCGGTGTGCCCCGGGCTGTCACCCGCAGCCCCGGCGGCGAGCCCGGGGCTTGCCCCGCGCGCCCCCGGTGCCGCTCACCGCCTCCCAGACGGCCCCGGCGGGCCCGAGCCGCGGCCCGTGGTGCTCCGCGATGTGCAGGACGCGCCCGCACAGCCGGAACCGGCGCCGCTCCGGGAACAGCTCGGCGAACAGCTCGGGGTCGCGGGGGAACACGGCCCGCAGCGCCTCTTCCTCTTCCTCTTCCTCTTCCTCTTCCTCTTCCTCTTCCTCTTCCTCTTCCTCTTCCTCTTCCTCTTCCTCTTCCCCGTTATCTTCCTCCTCTTCCCCGCTATCCTCCTCCTCCTCCCGCTCCCCCCCGGTTCCCACGTGGCACCCGGGCGCCGCCATCGTGGAAGGGGCGGGGCCGGGACGAGCCCCCCGAACCTGATTGGCTGATCCTGGTTGAGCCACGCCCCCTCCGCAGGTAACGGGGCTCCGCCCACGGAGCGCGCTCGGTCCCGGCCCGCGGTCCCGGGGGGGGTCCGGTGTCCCCCAGGGTCCCCCTCCCCATCCCGGTGTCCCCCGATATCTCCCGGTGTCCCTCGATGTCCCCCAGTTTCCCCCAATGTCCCCCGGTGTCCCTCAAACTCCCCCAATGTCCCCTTCCCCATCCCGGTGTCCCCCGCTGTTCCCCAGTTTCCCCCAATGTCCCCCGGTGTCCCTCAAACTCCCCCAATGTCCCCTTCCCCATCCCGGTGTCCCCCGCTGTTCCCCAGTTTCCCCCAATGTCCCCCGGTGTCCCCTGCCCCACCCCTGTGTCCCCTCCTCTATCCCGTGTCCCTGCTGTCCCTTGACCTGTCCCTTCCCCATCCCGGTGTCCCCTCCCGTCCCTTGGTGTCCCCTGCCGTGTCACCCTGTCCCCTCCTCCACCCCGACGTCCCGCGGTGTCCCCAGTGTCGCCTGCCCCATGCCGGTGCCAGGGGTGGGTCCTAATGTCCCCTGCTCCATGCCTGGTGTCCCCAAGCCGGTCCCCAGCGTTCCCCCCGTGTCCCCTTTCTGCTCACAGGCACAGCGGAGCCCGGTCCCGGTGTCCCCTGTGTCCCCATCCCGGTGTCCCCTGTCCCATCCCGGTGTCCCCTGTCCTATCTTGGTGTCCCCTGTGTCCCCATCCTGGTCACCCCTGCCCCATCCTGGTGTCCCATCCCACTGTCCCCTCCTCCCATGTTGGCTGCCCTGTCCCCGATGTCCCCAGGCCATCCCTGGTCACCCCCCGTCCCAGACCCTGTCCTGCCCCACCCTTGGTGTCCCCTGTGTCCCCATCCCTGTCCCCAGTGTCACGCCAGCCGTCCCTCCAGGGGTTCTTCCCAATGCCACCAGCTGTCCCCATCCCAGTGCCACCAGTGCCACCAGTGCCACCGGTGTCACCACAGCCCTGGGGCCCTGATGTCCCTGATGCCACTGTCCTCAATTCTTGCTGTCCATGTCCCTGTCCCACCCGTGTCCCTGTCCCACCCATGTCCCTGTCACACTCGTGTCCCTCCTGCTCGTGTCCCTGTCCCAGCCGTGTCCCCAATTCCCCTGTCCCTGTCCCATCAGTGTCCCTGCTGTCTGTGTCCCTGTCCCACCCGTGTCCCTGTCCCCCTGCTGTCCCTGCCCCTGCCATTCCCCGGTCCCGGTGTCCCCAGCCCTGGTGGCCTTGCCCATGGTGTACCTGTCCCTGTGTCCCTCATCCTGATGTCCCTGGTGCCACCTCCCCGTCCTTGCTGTCCCCGTGTCCCTCTGTCCCTGCCCAGGGTGACACGACGCCAGACACCGCCCCCCAAGCCGGTCCCCAGCGTTCCCCCCGTGTCCCCTTTCTGCTCACAGGGTGTCCCCTGTCCTATCTTGGTGTCCCCTGTGTCCCCATCCCGGTGTCCCCTGTGTCCCCATCCCGGTGTCCCCTGTGTCCCCATCCACTCCAGCCGTCCCTCCAGGGGTTCTTCCCAATGCCACCAGCTGTCCCCGTCCCAGTGCCACCAGTGCCACCAGTGCCACCGGTGTCACCACAGCCCTGGGGCCCTGATGTCCCTGATGCCACTGTCCTCAATTCTTGCTGTCCATGTCCCTGTCCCACCCGTGTCCCTGTCCCACCCATGTCCCTGTCACACTCGTGTCCCTCCTGCTCGTGTCCCTGTCCCAGCCGTGTCCCCAATTCCCCTGTCCCTGTCCCATCAGTGTCCCTGCTGTCTGTGTCCCTGTCCCACCCGTGTCCCTGTCCCCCTGCTGTCCCTGCCCCTGCCATTCCCCGGTCCCGGTGTCCCCAGCCCTGGTGGCCTTGCCCATGGTGTACCTGTCCCCATGTCCCTCATCCTGATGTCCCTGGTGCCACCTCCCCGTCCTTGCTGTCCCCGTGTCCCTCTGTCCCTGCCCAGGGTGACACGACGCCAGACACCGCCCCCGTGCCACCCCTCGCAGTGTCACCCTCCGATGCCATCTCCCCCTCGTGCCCTCGCAGTGCCACCGTGCCGGTGTCACAGCCCCGTCCCCGGTGCCACCGTGCCGGTGTCACAGACCTGTTCCCGGTGCCACCGTACGACTGTCACAGACCTGTTCCCGGTGCCACCGCGCGGGTGTCACAAACTTGTCGCCGGTGCCACCGTGCGGGATGTCACGGACCCGTCCCCGGTGCCGCCGCGCGGTGCCCCGAGCCCGGCACTGCCCCCGGTGCCCCGGGCTCGCGGTCCCCGGGGGGGTGAGGGGGTGACCCCGGGGGTAATGAACAACCCGCCCCGACCCCCCGTGTCCCCCCGGGACCCCCCCGGGACCCCCCGCGCAGCCGCGTCACCGCCTGCGTCACCGGGTTAATGTGACCGGGGGACACCGGGGGGGCAGCGCTGGGCACGGCGACCGGGGGGGTCAGAGAGACCCGGGGAAGAT